GATAAACCATTCCATCTTTAGGGGATAAAAACTGTGGAGCAGTTGATTTGCTGTCCAGTAAGATAACATTCTCTCTGTTGAACACAAGTGAAATGTAAYGATGTGTTTTGATCCTGACAACAAGAGACGCGKTAGCRCACTTGGCAAAAAKTTGAAGAAAGAGATTATACAGCTCTGTAAAACAGGATATGCTTAACCCATTGATATTAACACCATCAGTAAGAGAACGTACTTCAGCATCCAATCTTTGAAATACCAAACCTTTAACAAGAGCTGCCTGTTCTAAAGCCACTATACTATAATCACCATCCAAGAAGCGCATTGGTTCAATGGGTGTAGAAAATGAGCCACAAAGAATCAACTGCTTAAGCCACATTATATCGGCTGCAAGGTCTACCTCCTCTACAGTAAAATATGGTGAAACACCTGGTTCTAAGGAAAGGGAGTTGTTCATAGCACAAAGACCACAGAATGAACTAAATTCCTGGGTCTGCATCCAAACCCCACCCAAGCTTGTAACATGTAATTCTCCATGTTGTTTGCCATGTTTTCCAACAACTGTATCAAGATATTGTAGGTTCGAAAGAGCAATAGGATCTTGCAAACAGTCAGAGAGCAAAAGATTTAAAGATTCTGAAAATTCAGACAATTCAGCAASATGAAAAACATTAKACAAACAMYGCTGCTTTAAGGCTTCAAAATTTTCAACTGACATKGRAACAGCCTTTGAAACAACAATTGGTAATGGTGTAACACTGACAGTACCTGTAGCAGTTGGGCTTATTGGTTGGGGTGCTCCTGTTCTTGCCACCTGGTTAAGCATACTAGATACAGGATTTTTAGCACAAACAGTTATTGATGATGGTGTCTGATTGATGACAGGCAAAGTTGTCACTGTCGTGGGTGCTACTGATTGTATATCAGGCAATTTTTTGCATGTATTGGAAAGATGTAGAGACAGCACACCATCATCACCTTTAGTTATCAAGCCAGACTTTAAAGCGAGCTGTAGTGTCATCTCTTGACAGCATGGATG